TTCACTTCAAATCAGTCATACTTGTGTAAAACGGGTTTAGTCCCGCCACCACTTCAAAAACAAATCAAAACATGCTTTTAAAACAGTACGGGCATTACCATAAATTTACTTACCTCACTCCGCAAAACCGAGCACTCAATTTAGGTACTAAACTGACAGAACGATCGGGAACCTAATCAAAACACCTCAGAATTAATATCGGATTATCACACATTCAAACTGAAATCATCATTAGGATCACTCCTAATCGCAATGCTATTTCCATAAATCTCCAAATGATCAAATATCTCCAAAATTGTTCTCATATCACAAACTAATCATTTAAATCCCTATTAATCGTTGACTCTCGGGGTGTGAACAGTGCCCACGAACAGTACCCGTGAACAGTACCCGTGAACAGTAACTTCAACTTCCAAAATTGGCAAAACATAGCTAATTCACGAGATTTTTCTCCAAAATCACCACAACCCAATTCAAGCTAATTTACACTTAAACCAAGCTTGAAAACATAACTTAATCTACCAAAATTTTCCCATTTCTCACGGCAGCACAAGGAGAGCATAACTTTGGCAAATCACAATTCACACACATGAGATTTTCACACAAAAGATCACAGTAGGTAATTCAAGCTAAATTCTACTTAATCAAGCTTAAAACACATTTAAAATACTACCGGAATTCCTCCCCATTTCCGGCACAATTCAGACACACACAAAGTAGCAATTAAATGGCTAATTTAGGGCTTAAAGAAGTGGCCATCATACCAGAATTTTCCAGCAAGAACTGGAGCTGAAGGGGGGAAGAGGCCGACGGGAATTCTTTGCAGGGGATTCACGGCTCTACCAGAAATTGGAAGGGAATAAAGCAATTAAAGTAAACTCAACCTAAATCAAGGTTAAAGAGAGGGATTCATGGCTAGATCTTACCAGAAAAATGCCTAAAATCTCCCACCGGCGGACAGGGGAGAAAAGCAGAGCAGAACCGGGATTTTCTGGGCTGAGAGGGAAGATTCTAAGCCCCAAATCTTGTGATTTAACAAGGAAGGAAGAGAAATTCATCAAGATCTCACCAGGTTTTTCAAGAGTGAAGAAAGTCGGTGGCTTGGGGGGGGCTTGTTGGGTGCAGGGGAGAAGAAAGAAGAGCAGATGCGCGGATAAGGAAGAAGAAAAAGAAAGAACAACTCAGCCATCCTTATCCTAATTTCCTTTCTTTTTAAGTCCCTCAACTCTTAAAAATTTGACTATTAAGCTCCTCCATAATATTTTCCCTCAAATAAGTCCCTTATTTAATGCTAAAATATCCCCAAATTTTGGGGTATTACATTTAAGGTCCAATCATTGGGCTTTGGATTAGGGGTTGAATGACATGGGGTGCATTCTACAATAAAATTTGCTAGTGCTTGAGCTCAGATTGCAGATTTTTGCTGAAATGTTATCTCGAATTCCCCTAATTCTACTACCCACTTAATTAATCTTCCGGAGCACTCCGGCTTCTGTAGAATCTACCGAAGAGGTTAGTCTATGAGGACAATGATTGGGTGTGACTGGAAATATGGGCTTAGCTTTCTGGCCGAGGTGGCAACTGCTAATGCTACTTTCTCAACAATAGGATACCTCAGTTCTACACCATGCAACACGCTGCTGATGTAATAAATTGGTTTCTGTTGTTTGGCTTCTTTTCTCACCATAACCGAACTAATGGCTTCTTTTGAAATTCCCAGATACAAATAGATAATCTCTCCATCTATGGCCTTAGTTAGTAGAGATGGTGAGTTAAGATAAGACTTAAGCTCTTCAAATGCAGCTTGGCGTTCCTAATTCCATTCAAACTTCTTTTGTTTTCCTGATTCGTCTTTCTGGGCGACTGACCTCATAATCTTGAAAAATGGCAGGCACTTATCTGCTAACTTCGATATGAACCGATGAAAAGCAGTCACCCTTCTAGTCAACCTTTGTATATCTTTCACTAACTTCGGCGGTTCCATCTCGGCAATTGCTCTGATCTTTTCTGGATTGACCTCAATCCCTCTTCGTGAAACCATGAAGTCTAGAAATTTCCCAAACTCCACGCCGAAAATGCATTTAGCTGGGTTTAACCGCATTTTGTTCTTTCTGAGGTTGTTGAAAGTTTCGTCGAGATCAGCTAGATGGTCTTCTACTTCTAGGCTTTTTACCACAATATCATCGACATAAACCTCCAGATTCTTATCGATCTGAGCTCGAAAGACAATAGTCACCATTTTCTGATAAGTGGCACCTACATTTTTTAAGCCAAATGGCATCATGACATATCAATAGATTTCGTCACCAACATAGAACGAGGTTTTCTCTTCATCTTCTGAAGCCATCGGCACCTGGTGATACCCAGAATATGCATCCAAGAGACTTAATCTCTCATTACCTGAAGCCGCTTCAACCAGTTTGTCAATGCTCTGCATTGGATAGCAATCCTTGGGGCAGGCTTGGTTAAGATTTGTGTAGTCAATGCACATTCGCCATTTACCATTTGCTTTTTTTCACCAATATTGGGTTAGCCACCCATTCTCAATAATCAACTTTTTTGACGAAACCAACTTGTAGCAGCTTTTCTACCTCTTCCTTTATGGCCTGAAGCCTCTCCCCCCCGAAGAGACGTCGCTTCTGAGCTACTGGTTTCTTCAAAGGATTGGTACTAAGCTTATGTTGAGATACCGAGTTTGGAATTCTTGGCATATCTACCGAAGTCCACGCGAAGACATCATTGTTAGCTCAGAGAAAAGCTATTAGCTCTACTCTTTCCTCCGGGTTCAATCTAGTTCCAATTTGTGTCTTTCAGCTCAGATCTCTGTTGTCAATGTGCACCTCTTCAACATCCTCAACTAGAGTAGCTCTGGTTTCATCTTCAAGTCAGTTGTCTATTATTTCAACTCCCATGACTTGCTAATTGTCAGGAATCTTTTGGGGAATAGCCTCCGGCATCTGTTCTTTGTCTTTGTTTAGTCTCGTGACCGAGGTGATATAGCAATGTTTGGCCACCTCCTGGTTGCCTCGTAGTGTTGCTATCCCCATAGGAGTTGGGAACTTCATGCAGAGGTGAGATTGGGAAACCATAACTCGGATTTCAGTCAGCGTGGGTTTGCCAATAACAACGTTGAAAGAGGACGGCATCTTGACAACTAGAAACCGAACGGAAGGGGTAACATACGTTCGGCCACTCCCACAAACAACATAGAGGGTAAGAACCCCTTTTACCTGAACTGGTTGGTTGTTGAAACCATAGATGGGACCATCGTATCTCTGCAACAATGCTGGATCCAGTCCAAGACTCTCAAAACAATGGAAGTACATGATGTCTGGTGCACTCCTGGTGTCAACAAGGACACGTTGTACCTCACAGTTGTTAATCATGACAAAAGTAACCAGAGGATCATTGTGGGGTGTAACAACTATGTCGAAATTAGCAGAGGTGAAAGTAATGGGTTGATTTTTCCAGTCAGCATCATCAAATTTCCTTTTCTGAGCCCGGTTTCGATGTTTGACCTCTCTGACATATAGCTTTCGTTGTTTAGAGCTCAGCCCTCCTGCTTCCAGGCCTCCTGTAATCATATGTATAATTCGAGCTGGTGGTGGGAGCGAAGGTGGGGCTTGCTGATATCCCACGCCTTGCCTGTTTGGTGGATTACGAGCTTCTTGTGGCTGTGACCCCTATTCTCTGACAAATTTTGGTTGTTCAGCTCTTTGAATGTACTCATTCAACATTCCCTTCTGGGCTAGACTTTCCAGCTCGGACTTTAGGTTGTTGCATTGCTCTGTTGTATGACCATGATCTTGATGAAAATCATAATATCTAGTATGATCTCGGCTAGCAGCAGCAGTTCTCATTGGGCCAGGACGCCTTAAATCCATCTTATTCTTAATCTACATGAAAATCTGTGACCTCGGCAGATTAAAAGGAGTCCAAGTAACTGGAGGTTTACCTACAGACTGTTGTGGAGGTGCTGAGTTCGACCTTCTAAATCTCGATGTGGGGGTCGACATTAGACCTCAGTTTTGTATTGTCCTCATTCATTTCCTGCTCTGATCCTCATTTCTCCAGTCTGGATTTTGGTTCTTCGAAAGGGTTGGCTTCTACGGCAAGGCATATTCCTCAGCAGTTATGAATTTCAGGGATTTATCATTTACCTTGCTAAAGGTGGTGGTAGGATGCTTGAGCAAACTGTCTCTGAATCTCTCATGGTTAAGACCTGAGATCACAGCTGCAATTCCCATAGCCTGGTCGAAGGAGCTAACCTCAAGTATTGCATCATTGAATCTGCTCATATAATTCTTCAGAGATTCTCCGTCTTTCTGTTTAACTCGCATCAACTCATAAGTAGTTTTCTTGATCAATCTTTTACTGGAAAACTTTGTGGCAAAAGCAAATGCCATTTCTGTATAAGAGCTTATGGACCTCGGAGGTAGACTATAATACCAGGTTCGAGCATTACCTCGGAGAGTGGAGGGAAAGATCTTACACATCAATGCGTCAGAGGCGTTCTGAGCTTGCATACACGAATAGAAAGCATGTAAGTGGTCATTGGGATCCTTCGTCCTATCATAAGTCTCAAGTTGAGGTATTTTGAAGCTAGCGGGATAGGGTTCCAGTGTGATGTTGGTGTTCAGAGGATGAGGTATGGAGTCAGCAGCATGGTGTGGAGGTGAGGCACCTCGTTGTTCAGCTACCAACTTTTCTAAACTGTCGAGTGACATCATCAGGGAGGGGTTGTTGAGCTAGGGCTATGTGAGACTGGCCTTGAGACTCACTAAGAGTAGGAGCATGCTGAACTGGTTGAGGGTCTTGCTGTGGAGCTGGGGGTTGTGGAGCAGGGTTGAGTAAATTAATGAGGGAATCACCAGGGTTGTTTCGAGCCAAAAGTTGAGCCAATACTAGCTGAAAGACACCAAACTGTTGTTGTATGGTAGCAAGCTGAGCTGCAATTACATCTTGGTTGGCGGTAAAAGTTAAGTTGTGAGCTGAGTTATGAGGCTGGTTTTCATCTCCTCTTTCTACATGATTAACAGGAGGGAACATATTTGGAATCTGAGGTGGAAGCTGAGGTGGGAGGTTGTTGGGGAGTTGACCTTGTCCAAGAGGCAGAGATGGATTTCCAGCTCGGACTGATCGAGTGTTAACCACGATGAAAGAGCAATAAGAAAGCTTTCAGTTTAGATTCCCACAGACAACGCTAAATGTAATTGCACCAAACCAGAGATCCTTCTTCAGTCCACATCTTCACTTCGGATGAACCTGCAAAGCCCCGAGGTGGGTCCTCGGGGTAGACACTCCGATGCTTAAGTCAGCAATAATCGGGGCTACCTTTAGAGTGGAGATAAAAGGAGTTTAGGGTTGGTTTCAGTTACCTTTTTGACATGGCCCCTAGGGGGTATTTATAGGCTTCAGCGAGGAACCCACGTGGCATGCCAAGCAAGATATTCAGATGTAAGGATGTCCATCATAACTGCTATGCAGCTTATCATAAGGAATCAAGTGCGAGCATGCTTATTGTCGCTGTCATGCAGCTGTTTGAGTGGGAAGTTTGGGATTTATCCTTCACTTCGGTTATACAAAATTATTGTTGTACATCCGAGGTTGGGCACCTCGGACCTACCCTTACACCAATGAACCTTAAATGAGAGTACAACAAGAGAAATTGTGCAAATAAGGATGTAAATTTTATATTTTTCTATTTAAAGACATTAACTTTATTAGTTTTTAAATAAAAATATTAACTTTTAACTTTTTCTATTTAAAGATGTCAACTTTCAATTTTTAACTTTTAACTTTTTCTATTTAAAGATGTCAACTTTCAATATTTCAGTTAAAAAATTCATTTTTCATGTTAGTGTTATTATTCAATTAATCCTTAAATAGAAAAAGTTGAAAGTTGATATTTTTAAATAAAAGAAATTGAAAGTTTATATTCTTAAATAAAAAAAATTGAAAGTTGACATCTTTAGTTGGAAATTAACAAAATTAATATTTTTAAATAAAAAAAATTTAAAGTTGACATCCTTATTTACTCCTTTTCTTAGTATAATGACCATAACAAACAATTCCTAAGTACAAGGATGTTGATGAACTAAATAAAAAAAATAGTGGGACTATAGCTGGCTTTATCCCGCCCTGAAAATCATAAATTGGCCAAGTACCGCTGGATTGGCCGAAGACTTCGAAGTCAAACTACATTGAGTTGCGCAACCAATTAAATATAACACACCTGGTAGGATAATCAGTTGCCTGGCTACTACCACACAATGGCTTGGTTTTTTTTTTTTTTTTTTTTTTTTTTTAATATATTATAATTATTTAAAGGTTAAATGGGGATGGAAAAAAAGTTTTTGTAGGATTTAAATGTGCAATCAACAAAAAGTAAACAGTCTTAATCCTGAGTCTAATACCACTAAATCAAAACGGATCCTTTGCTACGCAATGACTTGTTAGAGGAACAAAATCTTTTATTTGACTGTGAAAAATAATTATTAATTATAATTATTAGTTGATAAA